TCAATCAGAGGCTCAGGCTGTGATCCAGCAGTTCCCATATAGCTGCTGGTAAGGTGATAGGTTCTTAGATCTGAATCTGCTCTGGTTGTACAACTGGGAACAAAGAGCTGGCCCAATGCTTTTACACTAACGGAGGAAAAATAAAATAAGTGCTGTTTAGACAGGTATTCATCTTGGAAAGCTGTGCATAATGATGTGGGAGTCACCAGCAAGAGCGTTATTACACAGCCATAACACCTCTAAATCTCAAGGCACTTTATGAAGCCCGATAATTATCATCAGTGTTTCACAAATGTGCTGGATGAAGCAGCAGAGAATAGCATGGTGACTTTCCCATCGTCCCATTATCACAAAATCTAAGAGTAGGACTGACTTCTTTTAATACGCTGATGGCCATTTTGCCCCTGTGATTGCATCTGCGCTAAGCATCAGGGCCACCTCCCTCTTCCAGCTGTTCACCCAGAGAATGCTCAGCATCAGGGAACTGTATCATCTTACCAACCTCTAAGCACAGCACTTAGATGTTCATTAAGTTCCTCTGCGATCATCTTTCCTCTGTTGTGAGCCGGTGAGAACAGAAACAGTGCCGTCTGCCAGCAGGGACATAAATTCTCCCTTAAGTCCAGTTATTAGCCTTCATGATAGAGGAGTTATTTGCTTGCCTCCAAGCACTCAGAAATTGCTGTGTCTGCTGTCTCCTGGAGTACTTACATAATAATTATTCTCCTCTCTGCTATGACCCCAAAAATATCTGTCAACTGTAAATCAGGCCTCTTTTAATTAAATTCCAATTTTTTTTGTTCTTTTTGACTGAATTCTTACTTTTTTATTTTTAATAATGAACTCTAGCATCAATAAAACACACTTCAGTCTTCTTGTGAAGCTTCCTTTCTTCAAGAATTGTGACTGGGAGGGTTGAATACGTAATTAATAATGATCCTCTGAACACATATTTTCTACCCCAGATCCTCAAAGTGTTTTAAAAACATTAATCAAAGGCATCCCCTCAGCATGAAATCTACATTTAAATCATTTTAAAAATCATAATCCTCAATGTAACATCTGCTCCCAAGTTCCAGTGTCGATGTTTGTGATTTTACAGCCACACTTTCCTATTTCTTTTAAAAATATTTTTCTCTCCCCTGCGGCTGTGTGAAAGGCTGAGGCAAAACAGGGGAAATAGACTATTTATCCAGGGAAAACAGTGAAACACACACAACTTAAATGGCCTGATTCTTTCCCATCCTTACTCTGGTGTAGAACAGTTTTATTTCTACATCTGACAAAACCATCATTTTCATAGTGAAGGAAAAAGAAATGTTTGTTGCAGATTGTGAGAAATTCAGATCCACTGGGTTATCAGATGTAGATTCCCTTCTTCCCTTCTCTACCTGCATGCTCCCCAGCATCCCCTGCAGTATTTCACTTCATCATACAAACTGCTGTTAGCAGTAACAGTTCTGGAAGCTGAAGTAGTCCAGAAAGATGTCAGAAATGTTTTTGGTACCTCTGCACTAGTTGGATGGGTCTGAATATCTGGTTCCTTGCTGCACAGACACAACTCACTGCCACTCAGAGAGAACTTTCCTCCTGACTGTTTCCACCTGGTTGTGTATATTCGTGAGTAAGAACAATTCCTTGCAAGAACACGGGCATTAAGGAACACGTCAGCACTGAAATGGGTGTGCTGGCTCCAGCCTATTAGATCACTTCATTCCAATATCCAAGGAAACTGTCCACTCCGCCTGCTCAGTTGTAGAACAGCTGCCCATTCTTTCATTAAAAAGGGATCTCTATGATGTCCACAAATGTAATCTTTAAGATGTGATGATATCCTCTACAAAAATAAGAATAAAAATATCTATAAGGTTATCAGACTAGCGTTCTAAAACACTGGAGCAATTCTGAACTTTATGCGTGGAATGGAATAATACAAGAAAGAGAATGAGAAAGTAAAATCCTGATTGCATCCAGATGTGAATTCACAGTAGTATTTCTTTTATCATTTCACAAAGGGAAACTTCAAAGTTTGTTGCAGAACCTAAGTAATGTACAAGAACTGCTCCAAAATTAATGCCTCCTACTTCGCTGTGTTGGTCCGTTACATCAGAGGCAGTTGCTGGCGGGATAGCAGGAGAGGTAGAACCTTCCCACCAATGTCCCGTTACGTTTTGTTGCCATTCATCACATGGTAGCAGAAGGGAAGTCTAACAAAATGGCATCTGATATGGCAGTGCATCTGAAGAAAAGGTGTGCCATTGAATTTTTCCATGTGGAAAAAAATGGTGCCCAGTGACATTCATTGACACTTGCTGAACATTTACAGAGACCAAACAGTGGATGTGAGACAGTGAAGCAGTGGGTGATGTGTTTCAGGGGTGGCAAGAAGGACAAGACGTATTCTGGATGGCCGTGCACAGCAGTCACACCTCCAAGTGAGGAGCACCTTGGTCACCTCATCCAATAAACCAGCAGATTATGAACAGGAAACTGTTTACAGAGCTGAATACCAGTTTCAATCTTTTGGAAACTACAGTTACAACGTTGCAATATCACAAAGTTTACCAGTTCACAAATGCTCACCCAGGAGCAGAAAGCACACTGTATGCAAGTTTGTTGAGACCTACTGAACCAAAATGAGGCTGAAAATGACAGTTCTCTGTTTCACATCATAGTGGTGATGAGATATGGTGTCACTACACAACCCAGAGTCAAAATGGTAGTACATGGAATTCCAAGCGAATTCCCCATCAAAGAAAAAGTTCAAGACAGCCCTTGAATAAAGTGATGTGCAACTGTCTTTTGGAACAGGGAAGGGGTGATCCCTCTGGATTTCCTGGAACCCAGACAAACCATCCGCTCTGACCACTGCATCATGATCAAGCTGAAGGCTTGACCTTTCAGAACTGAGCCAAAGAAGAAGACAACCTTCCTCTTGCAACACAATACTGCCAGGTCCCACGTGAGTTTGAAGACGATGAAGCACACTGCCAATCCTGGCTGGACTGTCCTACCATGCCCACTGCATAGTCTGGATTTGGTGCCTTCTGACTTCCATCTATTTGGGCCGACGAATGATGGACTTCATGGATAACGTTCTCCTAAAACATCATCACCACCATCACAGCAGCTGTGAAATAGTGGGTCACCTCCACTGGTGCAGATTTTTGAGAGTGTGGCATGCAAGCTCTTGTTCATTGCTGATGAAAATGCATACCTCATGGTGGTGACTACATTGAAAAATAGTGTAGCTGAGAATTTGTTCTATCAAATGGTGCTATTGTGTTCTTTGTATCTGTTGTAGTTTCCGTGGATTAAATAGGAGACATTACTTTCAGAGTGACCTATGTATAGAGAAATGTTTTTGAACATTTCTGAACGTCCAGTATTGTAATTTCCTAGAGCCTTTTTCAGTTGTGGTTTTCTTTTCTGATTTGATTTTATGAAAGTCCTATTCCTTGAGTCAAGCTATTTGATAATCTGTTTTCACTGCTTTTAAGGGAGTAAATATCTGGGTAGCCACTGATCTGCTTTCAGAGAAATATCCTGAAAGCATGGTTTATCATAAAAATTGTGTACTTTTTAATAAGGCAAATTAAAATTAAAACTTTTTTTAACCTTTTCATCTTGCTGCCCAAGTCTAACTCAAATTGTATTTCTGTGGGTTACTGCCACTCTGTCACAGTGTTCTTCTGTGTCATGGCCATTTCTCTTAATACATCTTTAATTTTCCTAACAGCAAAATGAAATGCTATTTATGATATATGCAAGTCTGAAAGTTCAAGAGCGCTACAACAACCACTAGGGAAGGACTAGTTAAAGATTGGCTTCCCATCAGCCAGCGGACAAAGAGTGGAATTTAAAAGAGAGACAACCACCATACTGTCCATTTGCATCCCAAATGAAAGCAAAGAACACCTGAAGGACAGACAGGTCAATTCAACCTAGCAATGAGAAGGCACAAAATCAAAATGTTATAAAACCCACCCATATACTATCAGGAATTTTAAAAATGTGAACAGATGTTTTTGCAGACGGAGCAAGTTTCCCTGTCTGCACATCCCACAGCAGCTGGAGCTGCAGACACTCCAGCACCTTCACCATGGTTAAGAAGCCCAGACAGCCTGAGCTGGGGGCTTGGATGCTGGTATCCATCTTATGGCATGAGCTGCAAGTACAAAGTGGGGAAATATTGAGTATGGGTCTGCATACACTCTTGAAAAGTATTGACCCCCATCTCCACAAGGCATTTTCTCATTTCTGGAAGGAAGATCTTTTCTCTGGGACCTCAGCATGTATCACTGTAAGAAGATATAAGCCTAGTGACCAGCTGATAAAGCCACAGGCTGCCTCAGCATGTCTATGGTAAGGAAAGATGTTATTTGTGTGCAGGCCATGCTTAGTGTCTTCCTACAGAAAGATAGCAGCTTTTCTCTGTGCTTACTTTGGTTCCCAAAAGCAAGAACAAACACCGAATTTTGATTTCAATAGCCTGGTCTGTAGCAACTCTGTGGCTTCCTATGAAAATAAACATAGCAAAAGACATACAAAACCTGCATTGTGTATTCCATCTGGTAAACAATGTCTTTGGCTCACTGACACCGACTGGGCATGACTCCTCTCAAACTACACCGAAAGAAATACCTCTGGTATTTGTTGTAACATTAGCAGTAATGCCTTTCCTTGAGTAAACAAAGCAAGTACACTGAAAAATTACAAACTTCATCCAGGATCAGAACGAATGCACACAAGATCATGAAGAAGATCAAAATCATACAGAATTCCAGAAAGGGTCTGATGCTGCTATTGAATACGTGGACGAAGATTCTTCCCAAAGGCTTGTTTCCAGTGACTAAAAACAACATTCAATAGTAAAGAAAAAGGCTATTGTGGGAAATATAAGGAAGATGGTGTGGAAGGCCCTAAGATAAGACTTGAATCCCTGACATGGGTTCAGCAGATACAGCAAGGACAAAAATGGTTCTTTGTGCCAGGCCTACCTTTGACACAGGCTTGCACCTGCCCATACCACTCCCCACAGCTGTCGCAGAGCAGCGTGAACGCCGTCTCCTTGTTGCCCATGATGTATCCCTGGGCACAGACGTACAGCAGCTCATCCCCCATTTCAAAGCCGGTGTGGCCATGCAGGATGGTGTGAGGGAAGGATGGAGGGTCTCCACACGGCTTGTCTGCAAGGAGAAAAGAAACAAGGTTGTAGAGATCTCTCAGTGGTCTTTAAATCCAGTGCTGAGCACGTGGCCAAAATAGCAACCTGAGGACAAACCTACAAAAACCAATAAATCTCATCTGATTCACACTCCTGCACTCCTTTATTACTGTTTCCAATTGTAAATTGAAATTGCAATGGGGATGGTATATACTGGGCTATGACTGCCATGCAGTAACTGCGACAGATGTTACTCATGTGCAACACTGACACATCTAGAGGGGCTTTGCTTCCTATCAGTCAGCCCAGATGGTAAGGCTTCACTGCCTGCTTCTGCAGGGGCTTGGGTAGGCTGGGACTGGAAAGCAAATGCCTGGACAGAGTAACTTCTGCAATTGCTCAAGACTGGTACTTTAATATCCATTAGATGGAGAAGTGACCGAGTCCCTGTCACAGGAAGGAAATGCCCAGAAGGACAAATCTTCTAGACACGCTCTAAATCAAAAGTTTGTCCTCAGAGACTCATTTCCCTGTAAGAGACTACTAACTTGTAATAAATGGTTACTTGTGCTCTTCAACTTAACAAAGCCCAGGGATGACTTAGCTTTGCTCTCAGTGAGCTAAATTTATCACATATAAAATCTGATTTTATTTAATAACATTTCTGCCAACAGCACCAAAAAGCAGGAAGTAAAAATTATGGCAAATGGTATAAAAATGGTTTTCAGCTTTTTGTTCTACATATTAGAAGCACATGTAGGGAGTAAACAGACCACTGTCAACACCAGCACAGACCAAATTTTAATTCTCTTTTTAGGTTTGAACTGTCTCAACTACTGCTAATAGTGTGAGTTGAGGTCTTCCAGAGAACTGATAGGCACTGCAGTTTCTCTTCACTCAAAAGTCTTTGCCATGACCCCTTTTTTCCCAGACTTTTTACCATCTCTTTTGCAATACACATCTCCTGCTTACAAAAAAAAATAAAATAAAATTAAAGAGCAAACAACAACAACCCTCCAGTGCAAAAAACCTGGTCTTATGAAGAAACCCAATAGACAAAGTCTGCAGTGTTGGAAAAAATAAATTTTTATAATATTTTTCAAATCTGGGACTTTTTCCATTGATTCTAGAACACTTATTGACAGTAGAAGAAAAAACCCCAAGTACTCCATTTGCCAAAATAACTGAAGATTCAGAAATCTGCTTTTGTCCTGATACAGAGCAGCAAAAATAAAGACTAGTAGGCAAAAGCTCAGGAATCTTGATAATTATACAGGATATGGGAAATCTAGGGTTGGGTCAATGTCCTAGTATTGATCTCTCCTGTACCCTGTTTGCTTGGATACAAAAAGCTAACTATTTAGTTGGCTATGAAAAGGTTATGTTCCATGAAAAGACTTTTGTTTGGAAGGTGAAAACATGACCTCCAAGACTATGCTCCTTAAAAAGGAAAATGTTTTCAGAGAACACCTCTGCTGCTTTACTGAAGCCTGCTTTTGGGACAGCATCTACATTGCATAGTTGTCGTCCTAACAACAACAAATGAACAACACTTCCATTGATACCACTTCATATTCACAGTTTTGAACGAGCAATAGTTTTGACTGAAAAGAAAACACGCTTTTTTCAATCCAAATTCTGCACAAGCTCAGACTGTCTTGCTAGAGAGCAAGCCTCACCAGCACCGTGGGCATCCTGCAGGATCCCCATTGAGTTCCGGAGTCCCCACCACCTACATGCTTCATGTAAATAAATGCTTATGTAGAAATACGATGTGTTTACGTTAGCCGTTATTTACCTCATAATGCAATGATAAATATCCACGCTCTGTGAAAGTTCTTTTCAGTCAGGGTCTCAGAAATTGATGGCTAACCACATCTCCGCTGGGTATTCTGAACAACATCTGCCACTAATTTAAGGGACACACTACTGAAGTCAGAGCTTTGAAGTCTATTCTCCGCACCGTACACACACATATACTGTCTAACACCTTCAGAAGTTAGTGGGAGTTATGCACACACACACAGACAGAAAAAACAAGCTCTTGAGGCTACACAAAGCTCAGTTTATGCACAGTCTTCTGGAGGTTTGGCATCTGAGGAAGTGAGGAGTAGTTAGCAGCTAATGCGCTTCCTGTGAGCCAGTAGGATGAATAGAGATTGATGTGGATGAAAGGAGTAAAAAATATTTTACTGCCTCATAGGAAGGCTACAGACCCCTGCATTTCATGTACTTTATTTATGCAGTCACTTTCATCTGTACAAATGGGAACTGTGTATCTGCTCTGAGGGAAGTATTGGTCCCAAGGCTGTAAGGGACAAATACATGTCAGAGAGTATTCTTATCTACAAAGCCTTGCTTGTCTGTTATTTGGTCAAAGGAAGCAGAAAAATAACACACTGACTAAATACATTTACCTTATGTCAAATACACTTAAAAAGCACGTTATAATCTTCCAGGAAAGAAAGCAAGCTGAAGGGAGCCTTACTGTACAATCCAGCAATAGATGTGATCACAGCGAAGAATGAGCTCCTGAAAGAGAGATCAGGCTGACGTGTAAATGGAAAGAAAAGGAGAAGTTCATGATATCCCTGGATGAAATGGTGTATGGAACTTTTGAATGTCTCATATGAGATGTTGGAAGGTAGTGTCTTTGCTGCAGAGCATACTGTGTGACAGAGCAGCCAGGACTAAGGGGCAGCCACTATCCTGCAGATATACACCAGTTCCTACATTCACGTGGCTGTGATCCTCTCATGTAAGAAGTATGGAAATTTTCGGAGCTGCATCTTACAGATCTTCACCCTTCTGCAGTCTCAGTTGCTATGACAATTCCTTCTCAGCTCTTCATGAAACCTGCTTGTTCTGCTACAAGCACAGGAGATGCTGGCCTAGCAGCCCATCAGACTGAGCCACATCTGGGGACATGCTTCAGGTTTTTGTTTGCAGCCTGTGTGCCAGGAGGTGGCAAATCATGGATCTGTTTGGAAGAACAGCCTGTGCTCAGTGCTGGCATTTGGGCTGGGAGAGAGGAGGGAGATCAAGGCCACAAAGCGTGGCTGGCAGCAGCTTGTCATCTGGAGGAACAGCAGCGGTCTGTGTTAGTGTGTCTACAGAGGTTGCCTGGAGTACTGACTGTAGTAGATGAGGATTGGGCTCCTCCTGTGCTGTGGGAGTGCTCTCCATTCGGAGCATTGCTTTTTGTCTCCTCTGTCCTCTCAGTAACCACTGACTATGTTGGTGCTTGCTAAAAGATGAGCCCAGTGCATGTTTCCAATTACAAAAAGCCTGATGTGCCCTATTATATCCCCTCAACACTCCTGCCACATGTAGAAGACCTCATTCTCCCCCCACTTGTGCAAGATTACATTTTCAAACCTGGAAATCCTGAGTCCATTCCCAGGTTTCACGATCCTCACAGATACATGGAAATGTGCAAGTATATGGAAGAAGCTCCTGTCAGCAGTAAAAAACTGTCTCCAGGAGTGACAATCCCCAGCACAGTCAATGTATATGACTGGAATTCAGAACAGAGGCAACATCTAACAATTGAACAGGAATTAGTGGCGCAGCAAGAGTGTGACTATTCAGCACAGATATATTCACCAGGGCTAGTGATGATTCTGGTGATGAACATCTCAAGAGACTAAGCAGCTATTTTTTTACAAGGGATACAAGGGATTTAATTCACTTCTCATTAACTGATTTAGCAGATTCTGTCTTGATTGACCTTAGGGAATTATGGCCCCTCTGAAGAGGAACTTTAATGTCAAAACATGTGTGGGAAGGAGCTTGTGGCAGATGACTTCTGGCATTCAACATGAGACACTTCAAGGAAATAACATCCCTCTTCACTAGTCCAGAAACGTTTTCTCAATTTAAACTACAAGTAACTCATCAGTTTGTAAAGATTTTTAGTGACGCTTTGATATAATACTGTCTAGAGAAAGGACAGCCAATTGGGAAAAGGAAAAAAAAAATCAACTCAAAATAGATGCAGACTTCTGCTTTCACGCCACCTGGCAGAGCTGCAAATCTACTGAAATCTGATTATCTACAATGGCTACTTTACCAGTGCACCATGCTCTGAAAGCTGACACGAAACATCCTCTTTGACATAAAACATTCCCTTTCACAACCGTCCAATTCAGCAGAGTTTTTCTAAAGAGACCACTGGAATTCATAGGATGTCATCTTGTCATTAAGAAATTGGAAAACACAACTCTTAGAGCTCAGCGCTGTGAAAGATGAGTGTGGATGTTTGTTTTTCTTCTTGATTGCAGAGACACTGAAATCTATGGAATTTTTCATCTTGGATAAAAATACTGAGTGCAAATAAAGTACAAAAATCAAACATAGCCAATGTGAGTGCCGCTCATAAGCTACTGATGTTAGGATGTCAATACCTCTTTCATCAGATAGGGCTAGTAAAGACTAACTTCATTTATTGGTTTAAATGACATCACCAGGTAGCTGGAAATTCACTGTCAGCTATATGCAAAGCTCTGGAAAAGAAAGCTGTAGCAATAAAGTAAAAAGAAAAAAACTCATATCCATAGGAAATCATGATAAATTAGAAGAAATGGCTTAAATACAAACCAAATAGTAGTTTGATTGCATGTTTCTTTTTTTTTAATTCTTACTGCTGAAAAAGGCAAGCTGAAATATGTACATCAGCCATCAACTTTTGATGGGTATCTGGAGCCAGCAGTCCTGTTTAACAAAGTTTGATTTGCATTTATGCTGTAAGTACTACAATTTGTGGCCTGTTTACTTTTTCTATGATGGCAGAAAATCAAAGCCTTACAGAACAGAGGACTTACTTGTTCCCTATAAATACCAGTTGTCACCGAAAGAAAGAACCAGTAAAACTTGGAAAGGATGAACAAAGAGATCATTCCTTTGTTGCATTAACAAAAAAAAAAGCAACAAGAAAGATCATCACGATGATTATATACAATTAAAATTGAATGATATGCTTTCCTGAAAAAAAAAAAAAAGTGCTAGTAAAAAATTCAGTCTAGTGTTTTTCTGTTGTTTTCTTTCTTTTATACTTACAGGTGTTTGCTTGTGAGCTTTGAGAACGAATGCACGCTCTGTGGGCCAGGTTTGATTTGCATGTTCAGACTTCATTTTTAGAAGAGGCACTCTACCATGTTTTTAGGTAATTTTTTGCTCTTGGAGTTGAGAGAAAAACTTGCTGATCTCAGAGATTGCAAACGAGTATAGAACTGTCTTCCTAGCTAATGGCTGCATGAAACACTTGTTTCTGAGGAACTGAGGAGACAGGCAATTTCTCTTCATTATGAAAACTACAGCTATCCTCACAGTAAACACAACAGCTACATTCTTCCCTGCAAAACATAACTCCTAGTATCAAAGGTTGCTGTGATTCTTTATTGTGCACACAGCCAAATTTGTTCCAAAAGCATTAAGAAGTTGTATCTGTCTCCTCAAAATTTTTATGTGCAAAAGCCTGATCCCGTAAACATATGACCACTGCTCCAACTGTTGGGGCACACCGAGGTATATGCTTTGGCAATTCAGCTGAACTCAATCATGGACTAAATGATAACTGACTAAAGATTCAGTGTAAATCAAGGCCTAAGAAGGCAATTTTGCAATGACTTGTAGTTGTTTCATGGTGGTTTGAGATGCCCTTTGCATAGCTATAAGGTCAGAAAATAGGGTTGTTAAGAGTCATGATGGATGTCACTTCTGAAGACGGGAAGGCTGATCTGACTGTTCCCTCCACCTGCCCTCAACCAGCCCCTCTGTCTGAGCCTTCAGCTGACTTCAGTCAGCTTGGACAAAGAGGGAGAGTTGTTGAGTTTCTGCTCAGCTTGGTAAGATGAGTTTCAAAGAGGAAAGACGCAAATCCAGGCATCTTTTCTATTGGCATTTACACAAAGTAGTGTTCAGCTCTTAACCTTTCCCACAGGCAATGCTTTCTGGCTATCAGAGCTGAGTGCAGGTGGGTGAACCAGGTAGTGCCCATGGCTGTGGTTGTGATGGGAGGCTTGCTATTGCTATTTCTTATTGGATAATTACTTCCTAAAACTGAAAGCGGCATCCTCAGGCGTATGATGTTCTTTTGTCATTCAACTACTTCATGCTGTCCTGTATGTTAGTACACATTACAACTGTGAGTGATGGCTGTTTTCTTTCTGGACATTGATCTGTTCACATCAGCTATAGATTGGGTCTTCCACACACAGCTTCACTTATGACTTCTTTCTCAAACATCAACTCTGCATACTGATCTTTTTGTGTGTGCGTATAGTCAAAGAAGAGGGAGCCTTACTGTCATCTGGAAACATTTCTGTATTTAAGTAACATTTGATGAGTATGTTGGCACGATCATCCCATTCTGTCACTAGGGAAACTCCCTGCCTTGAACAAAATACTTGCGAACAAGTCTCTTTTTAGCAAATGATCTGATTCTTCCCCCGAGTTTTAGCTGTGCAGCGTCTGGGTATTAAGTAGGACTTCTTTCCAACAAACACAATCAGATTCCACTCTTATTTTCACCACCTCCCCTTTACTGCCAGCAGCAAACAAACACAAAATGCAAGCACAGTTCCTTCCCCATGCGTAAGGGCAGAAGCAGCAGGTGGAGAAGGATAGGGGAGCACAGGATACAATGGGACAGTGGTGCTCACAGCATGACTTCAGCCTGCCACAGCTGCCTGACCCTTTGCAATTATTTTCTCTTTGGGTGGATACTGACAAAAGAGAGATTTGAAGGAAGACAATGAGATAGTTTTGCAGATGTTTACAGGGAGCTGCTCTTATATGTGAGAAAGCACAAAGGTGCTTGTGTGACAGCATTAACAACTGGGTGACAAAGCTGGCACTGCTTGTAGCAGCACGGAGCCTGAAGCTCATAGCACGGTGGTTATCTGAGAGGGTGGCCAGTCAAACTCTGCAATGCTTGAACGACAAGGTGTAAATCACCTCTGCCACATTTCACTTCAATCATATCTTCATTCTCTCTGCTGACACTCTTAGTTTAGATGTCCTCACTGTATCATGAGCTTAGCATTTCTCAGTAAAGGCCATCTGCTTTCCTTGAAAAGAAACGCAAAACTTCACTGCAGACACCAATAATTTCCTTACACAATTCTGTCTAGCAGCAACAGTTTATGTTTTGCCCTTGGACTCTGTTTTCCCTTGTGCATTCCAGCATCTGAATCCCAAATTTTAAGCACCAAGTTAAACTGGAAATAATTTGGCTTTCAGAATCACACCCATGGTCCAGACTACAATTGTTAACAAAATAACAAACAAACAAAAAGAAAATGGAGGCAATGAAGATATTTGCACACAAGTACTGTATATAGACAGATAGGCAACAACAGTGTTTTGTGGCTGGAAGCCAGGTTTCCAAATTACATTTAGTTACAGTGCTGAGTGTGGGAGATACTTTGGGTATATCAGATAAGTTGGTGCCAGATATATCCTTTTCCATAAAGAGTGTTCTTTGAACTCCAGAATGGCCTCTTTCAGATCAGCAGTGCTCTTTGAACTTGCTAAACTGTAGCAAAGACAAATGGTAATGCAATTTATTCCCTGCAACCAATGTCTTTGTAGCAGTTTGTTCTCCCAGCAGGAGATTACTGTACAGATTTATTCCTTAATATCCCCATTTTGCCTCTCAGCAGTAGAAAAATTGAAGGCAAAACTTCTAATGTTTCAAGACAGTGATTACTGTGCATTATTTCAATAGTATATCAGTGCTGACCTTCATCCTTTACACAAAAAGCATCATATTGGTCATTCACAAAGGGATCGGTTTCAATTTTAACATCAATGGCTTTCACGCTCTGTTGTTTGCTGCCCGTCTTTCTGCATATTATTGTCCTAAAATAAAGAAGAAGAAGAAAAAAAATAATCAGAAATCTTCTGATTCTTAGTTTAATTGTTTAAGAGTTGGCACATAAGGCATTAGTATGGGAAGACGTACGAAAAAAGCCAAGGGAGAATTAGAAGTAATTAAAAAAATGCTCTCTGTAGATCAGTCCAAGGCATAGGAAGCAATAAAGGATGCTTATCATATATTCTGTAATGCTTCTAAATATAAGACCAAGTCCCAGTGTATTTAAATCCATGTTCTGCACTTGTATTTCAGTGATACAAATTCTCACCAATGATACCTGGATAAAAAATGAGTGAAAGTCTCAAGACTTGGTCTGAAAGATTATAAATCACTAGTAATAAACTTATGCTTGCTGCATAAGTTCCAGGTTGTTTTATCTTATTTGTTATTTTAATCTGCTGCACAGCTGTGACTGAAAGCATTTTTACCTGTTTCACTTTCTTCATTTTGAAAACAGAAACAGCAATATTTAGTCCCATACTGAGCTGTAGCACCCAGTTCTGGTGGACTAGGGATGGCGTAGATGCATAGCCAAGACACTCTGCTGCCAACACAAAAAGTAACTGGCAGGAACTGACAAGACAGGAATGCTGCATTCTCTAATTTCAAATCACGCTTCTCTTACAGGTTAAACTCTCTTAAATTGTCGTTACATTGCAGCCTAAGAAAACTCATCTTGAGTTCTCGGGAATAAGCTGGCTGTTTGGTTCATTGGTAGGCTGGATAGTTGGTTTCACAGTTTTTCCACTTCTTTGTTTAAAATCCATTTCTTCTGGTTTGGTACTCAGCAGTACTTAATCCATCCTGTTGCCTTTTTATAGGCTTGAACAAAGGTTAAAAAATTGTATTTAGTTTTACAAGTCTGTAGATGCTGAACATAGAGGAGGAGATTATTAATTATCTCTTCTTTCAGCTGTGTTGGCTGCTTAAAACTTACTAATAAAAGACAGTTTGTTAGAGAAGACACTGCTCTTATTGTTACACTGAAGGTTAGAAAGGCTGGGAAAGTGAATTCAGCCCCAATTTTTGCAGCTGGATATTAATGGTGTGGGTTTTATATTTTACAGACAGCAGGTCTGTAGAAGCGTTGCATGGTCAGCTCCTCTAGTGAAAGCAAGACCAAAATGTTTTCCACAAAGCAATCTTTCCAGTGGAGGAAATCTATCATTTCGTATTGCGCAATGGTCAAACTAGCTTTGCCAGCAGTCCCACACTCATTCTGGATAATAAAATAAATGTTGACTAACTGCCCATTTACTGAATGTGGAAAAGCTCTAGTAGAAAGCCAGTATTTGATCCCATACTTAAATACTGCATAACAATTGATTTACACAAGTGGACTAAATTACAGTTGTGCAGACCATCTTAATTCCAGCATATGTTGGCTCTTGAGCTGTTAGACAGGCAACTTTAATGTGCTTTAATGCAAACAAACAAAAGCAACATGAAAAAAGCCATATGGTACCGGTCACGCATAAGTACCAGAATGGTTCCTACCACACTTCTGCTCTGAAAAACAACATGATGTAATCCCCTACTAAAAGCTGCTCTGTAATTTCAAAGCAAGCATGTTTCTTTTATAAGGAAAGCACCTCCCGACTTTTTGTGGGTCACTTGAAGACTATATTGCCTACAGGAGTTTAAAATTGAGTTCTCTTAGAATTTAATGTCATTCTTTAAGATCTGACTCCTTCAAGAGTGCCGCCGAGCACCTAGACAAACTCGTCTGTCCAAGTGGGTTTAGATGACTTGGACAATCAGTCTGTTAATTGCAAATTTTTGTATGTGTTCACATATTGTCCCAGTAGGTCTTTCAAGGCATAAGTGAATGAAACTGACCTTAATCTTTCCAATGGTTACTTACTCTCCTGTCTTCTGACCTTGTTTATGCCTTGCAACGCTGAATAGACAGATAATGAAGTATCTTTGAAAATCTGGATCTTTTGCTTGTAAGACTTAAGACTTTGCTTGTACTTAAGACTTCAACCCTTTTAAACAACAGCAACAAATAAATAGTTGTTTTTATGTTACCTGCAACCCTGTCTGCTAAAATCAGGTGATATTTCTTCGCATGTTCAAGCATGGAATAAAATTTCTGAGATTTAGGATCCAACTTTAAAAATCCTTCTTAAACATTCTGATTTTGAATTTCAATCTCTAGCAGTTGTATTTTGCTTCTGCCCAAAGCACCATAATTTCTGTATCATTCCTTCAACAGGCTAAGAAGTTTTCTGTGAGTGACACACCCTTATTATATTCGTATCATCACCAAACCAGGGTATTTGATTCACATTTAAGACCACGTGTTCAAAGAGCATGATCTTCTTTTTTTCCAAGTATTGCACAGCAAATTACAAGTTTGTAGGCAATAAAAATGGAACACAATAAGTGGCTAATTGATTTTAAAGCATTTCTTTGATATCCAAGTACATGAAGATGTTTCTTAAGTATGGTTTCAACATTACATATTAAAAAAAGACTTTAAATGACGTCAAGATCTCCTAATGCAGTTCTCACTGTGTGTCTTTTTCTACATGAAGCTTTAAAATTGCTCTTCCTATACTTTTTTTTTTCTACAACAGAGCAGACCTTGGCTAATCCGCCATTTAGAAATTTAATTTGGATTTTGTCATATTAAAACTGATCTGATTGAAATAGAAAACACTCTAACGTAATTACTCCAAGAGGAAAGAAAACATGCCCTGTAGACATAGGAAAAAAATAAAAGAGGAAAACAAAATCTATTTAATGTCTCCTATTGCTCCTTCTCTGTCAGTAGTTTCCTACCAAAGCTCAATCTTGCAGGCTTTGAACATCTTCCATAAGCTGTTATTACCACTGCTAAAAGGAGCTTCAGTAGCGCTCAGCATTTCTCAGCAGCAGCTCTAATGATTAGACCTGCAATGCCTTTGGCACTGAAACTGTGTCTTTGCAGTCAGTAGGACTGCAGGCACAACTAAAAATATGCAATAATAGCCTCTTTTCTCAGAGTTCTTGAGGGCAGGTATGTTTCTCCAAATCTGTAAAATGCTGTAATCATAGATGAAAGATGTAGGTACACTGTTGTCTCAGCTCTCACAAGTAGGTTTTGATGCTTTTAACTTTGTCAATCGCTTTCATTTGATGACTGGAAAATGGCAAGCACGTTCTCAGTTCAGAATTCAACATATGTTGACATTTGCTTAGCAGCAGCATTGCCATACTGCAATAAGAAACCAATAAATAGCTATTATTCCTATCTACAGCCATCTCTTGTAGTTCCAGCACCCTGGTGAGAAGTTGTGGAAATGCAGATTCTAGTTGATTCTTTATCATTTTGAATTGTTGCAGTGCTGCATCATGCATCATGGTTGAGAGAATGCCACAAAGCTTATATTTTTTTGTAGGAAGGCATCCAAAGCACCCAGACATTTAGAAGAATATAGTCATGTAGGGAATTTTAATTCTATTTATTGCTACTTTCATGGAGTAATTGAACATAAACTTCTACAAAATTGCTCATTCCTCACCTTTCTTGGATGTGTTATAATCTGCTACTTATAGCAGTGTAATGCATGATTTTGTACCTCATTTTAAAAAAAAAAGTGATTTCATTTTTTCTTCTATGGAAATTCTTATGAAAGTAACATTTCAGACGTGCTTGGAAGAAACTTATTGAGTTCAGAATGCAAATCATCCATAATAGTCTTCTATGTTAGATATATATCTACCTGAAATACTCATGCATCTCCAAAAAACTATTATTGCACTGCTGTGAACTCTGAAAAACTCTCACAATGACAGCATAAAAATCAGCCACACATGTATGCTGTAAGTATCATACACTGTCAGGAAGATAAATATCCAGACACAGTATTAGCATCTTACTTTTTTCATGGTTGTGGTGTTCTCAAAAGGTTTCCTAGCTTGATTCTATTTTTTGATCTTAAAAAATTGAAAGAAATTGTTTTGCCTTACACAATAATTTTATGAGAAATCATTCCTAAGATTTGCTTTTACCTTATCTTGCAAGTTTAAATGAGGACTGAAAATCAAGGCTGCTTTGAAGATTAAAAGAGTCCCATGTTTTACAGTTAAGAGCAATTATGGTCACCATCTTCATATAAAGGCACTGAACTCTTACTTCAGCAACAACCATCACATGAGAGTTTACCTGTAGGGCATCATTGGACAAAAGATTTCACCTGTGTTGACAACAGCCTCTGCTGTATGATGGAAAGCAGAAGGGCACCTGATGGTGTTTCCTTTTGGTATCTTGACAAGTAGAGCCAAAATCTAATGAGGTTCTCCTCAATCTACCACTACTACCACTTAGCCTAGATAGACAATCTGCTTCATGGTGCCTCTCCCCCTCTCAAGCAAGAGCGCAAGAGAAACGACGGGGACTGCGCACTGTTTTGGACCCAGCTTATTTATTTCTGGGCAATTCATCCACGTAAGAACAATTTGTTGTGCTTGCTCAGTATCCACCCTGAAGGTAAGACCAGAGGATGGTGAAGGTAATTCAGATACTGCATTTAGCATATGTGTATGAGAGGAGAAAGTTTAACATTTAGCACAAAGTGGGAACCAGATTTTCTTTAAGTATTCCACTTGCATTTGCGCTGGTTACACACTTTTCTAATCCATCTACTGAACAGTGAGCTATTGGTATATTTTGCATTATTACCAGTTCCTCTGCTCAGGGAAGGAAATAGCAGAAGAGGCTGATTTGAATACTGTTTATTCCACTATATGACATAATATGCTATTATCTAATAAACATCTAATTAAGAAACTGTATTTTACATAAATAATAAATTATGGCTATACTAGTGTACACTGGTACTTCTGCTTTCTAATATTATTGCATAGCAATTTCATAATACTCGAAAAATTTTCAGTAAACCTAAGTTCATATAGATGGAGTTAATGGCTGAGATTATACAACACAGCTTGATCAATTCCAGCATCAATGCAAAAAAACAGTAGGTGGAACCAGGGT